GCAACGGCGACGGAGCCGCCCTCGGTCTCCCTCTCGTGTATGTATACCTGACTGCAGTCTGCACACTAACCAGCTAACATTGCCAGTCGCCAACAATTTCTGGGGCAAAGATGACGCCGGCGTCGGTCCCATGCTCGACCGCATGCATGCGGCCAAAGTCACAAACGACGAACTCAAACACTTTTACGCCGCGCGAGCATCAATTGAAGAAGACTATGCACGAAAACTCCTGAACTTATCGCGAAAGCCACTTGGATCTTGCGAAACTGGCACCCTTCGACTGTCGTGCGATGTCATCCGAGCCGAGGTCGAATCCATGGGAAAGGCGCATCAGAATGTAGCCCACCAGATGAAGACAGAGCTAGAAGAGCCTCTCGCAGCCTTCGCTGGTGGAATGAAGGAGCGGAGAAAGATTGTGCAGAATGGCATTGAGAAGCTGCTCAAGCTGAAAATGCAGCAGACATCGACCATGAACAAGGCACGCGACAAGTACGAGCAAGACTGTCTCAAGATCAAGGGCTTCCTAGCGCAAGCGCACATGGTCATGGGACAAGAAGAGCGCAAGAACAAGGCCAAGCTGGAGAAGACACAGATCAACCTAGCCACAACGAGCGCCGACTACGAGGCCGCAGTCAAGGTGCTTGAAGAAACCACCGGCCGGTGGAACCGCGACTGGAAAGCTGCGTGCGACAAATTCCAAGATCTTGAAGAAGAGCGCATCGACTACACCAAGAGCAGCTTGTGGAATTTCGCAAACATCGCCTCGACCGTATGTGTCAGCGACGATGCTTCCTGCGAGAAAATCCGACTGTCGCTTGAGGACTGCGACGTAGAAAAGGACATTACCGGCTTCATCAAAGAGTCTGGAACTGGCCAGGAAATTCCAGATGCGCCCAAGTTCATCAACTTTTGCAAGGGCGACGCAGAGACTTCTTCACAAGTCTCCGAGGACGAGAACTACTCAGTCGCACAATTCGCCAGGACATTGAATCCGGCATATCGCGCTTCATCGCCAGCGCCTTCCAACTTTGACTCGCATCACGATCCAAATAACCCATTGGCTCGAGAGATGGGTCTCCAAAGGGACACACGTCCAATCTTACCTGACGACATTGATGCTCTACCCCTTCAACCTGTAGATAGCCGACGTCAGTCAATGGACAGATCGCGCCAGTCAGTAGACCGGTCTCGCCAGTCGATAGATATGCCTCGCCAGTCAGTGGATCGATCTCGCCAATCCGTCGACAGGTCCCGTCAGTCAGTAGATATGTCTCGGCAGGCGGCCGAGTCACCACAACCATACATGGACGAACCGCAACAATATGTTGAATCTCCACGACAACATATCGACTCGCCACGGCAACGCGCAGAGCAACCGCGACAATCACGGCAATATGTTGAACAGCAAAGACAATACATTGAGCAGTCACAGCAGCATGTGGAGCCGCTAAGGCGATATACAGAGTCACCGAGGCTGCAGTATGCCGAACCACCAAGACAGCAGTATACCGAGCCCCCGAGACAGCAGTATGTAGAGCCACCAAAGCCACAATATACGGAACCGTCTAGACAGCAGTATGTCGAGTCACCCGAACCACAATATGTGGAACCACCATATGAGGAACCACCTCAGCAGCAATATGTCGAGCCACCCGAGCCACAGTACACAGAGCCACCGAGAGAGCAATACGTAGAGCCGCCTAAACCTCAATACGTAGAGCCGCCCAAACCTCAATATGTGGAGCCGCCCAAACCTCAATATGTGGAGCCGCCCAAACAGCAATATGTAGAGCCTCCCAAACCGCAATATACAGAACCGCAGAAACCACAATATACAGAACCACCAAAACAGCAGCAGATTGAGCCTCTACGAAAACGCGCAGACACACTGAGACAACGTGTAGAGTCACCACAGCCGATGCAATCTCCCCAAGCAACACGGGGAGTACAGCCAGACTCTCGACTCATCCAAGCACAAGAGCAGGCACGTCAACAGTATCAGCAAACTCCGGTACCCCTCAACGACTACCCGGCAGATGGGATGACTCAATTCTGCCGCATCGGTGCGCCAACTGATCGAAACTCAATTCCAAGTCCAGTGCGTCCTGCTAGTAGGAGTTCGCAGAGTGACTGTTCAAATCCCAATTCTTTCTCGAGTGTCGAGCCACCCAGTGGCTCTTGTTCACCTGGTAAGCCGATGGCTGCGCCATCGATCTCTGAACCTAGCCCAATTGAAGAGGGTTCAGTGCAGAAGAAGAGAGGGTTCTTCAACAGCCCATTTGCGAGGAGAAAGAGCAAGCATGAGATCGAGCCTCCAGCTCTTGCGCCCAGCACCCGGAAAACATGGACACCTCCCTCGCGGCGGAATACCGAAGAGAATAATAGCCTAACAAAGAGCTTTGTTATCAGGCCTACTCGGGCTATTGAGAGCAAGCCACCTTCTCCCGGTCCAGAACCAACTGATCCACGGGCAAACTTCCAGCTCAACGTTGGTAACAATGTATTTGACGTTGCTTCACCGGACAAGAAGAAGCAGGAACCAGAGACTGATGCGCAGGAAGAACTTGATCCCATTGCGCAGGCTCTTGAAGAGCTGAGGGGCGTTACCAAGCAGACTTCAGTCCGTCAGCCTGAAGAGCGCAAACAAGCTGCTGTACGCCAGACTGCAGATCGCTATCACGGTCTTGCCACACCGGCACCTCCTGCTACTCCTGCTGTCGGTTCAAAGCTGGCTGGCAGCGTACCTACACCACTTTCTAGTGCCAGCATCACTGCGGCAAAAAGGGGCACGCCTCCGCCCTCATACGAGCAGCCGCCCATGTCCCGTCTGGGCGCCCCTAAGCCAGCACATACAGCTCGCCAGATGCAAAAGACCACACAAATGTATGTGAATCAAAAGGTGAATATGTTCAATGGGGGCGATGCGGCTCGCCCTCCAAGCCGGAGCCCAACAAAGCAGGAGGCTCCCCGTACTGCTGCGGCTGCTGCTACTACTCCGCAGGCTGCCTCCCCACGAACTGCCTCTCCAGCACCTGCACGTGCTGTCAGTCCACGACCAACTCTGCAAACGGCAAAACAAACTCCGACCCAGAATTCCTACCGAACCACTCCAACGCAGCAACAACCTCAATCGCCGTCAACCTATCAGCCAGTGCAGCGACAGTCGACAATTCCCTCACAGCCTGCGCAAAGACCACCATCTCAAGCATCTCAGCGTCCGCTACGTCAACAAGCAGCTGCTCAGCCAGTACCTCGGCCCGCATCCAGACAACAATCACAGCAGCAGAAACCATCACCAGCTGCCCAGCCAGTACCACGGCCTGCATCTAGACAGCAGGCACAGCCGCAGGCAACGCCACCAGCTGCTCAGCAGGCATCACGGCCCATGTCTAGACAGCAGACACAGCAGCAACCACCAGCTTCTCCCGCAGCTTCAAACAATCGAACGGAGTCGCCAAATCCCTATGCTCCATCTAGTGCCGGAGGCAGACCGCGGGCTCAGACGGGCAGTGCTTCGGCTCAGGCTTATGGTACACCTATGGGGCGTAACACATTCACGTCTTCGCGTGGTCAATCACCGGCTGTCAACAACACACAACCTGCTGCATCACCCAAGCCTCTGCAGCAGAAACCTGTCCAACAACAGCAGGCCCCGCAGCCAAAGCCTGTACAACAGCAGCCTTCACCGCAAAAGCCTGTCCAGCAAGTACCACGACCCGCATCTAGACAGCAGGCGCAGCAACCTCAACCACAAAAACCGGTTCAGCAACAGCAACCTCCACAACCGAAGCCTGCTCCGCAAGCGTCCCGACCTGCATCCAGACAGCAAGCACAGCCGCCTCCAGCACAAAAGCCTGTTCAGCAACCACCTCCTCAGCAGCAGCCTCCCCCACAACAGAAGCCTGCTCCGCAAGCATCACGACCTGCTTCCAGACAACAGGCACAGCCGCCTCCCCAACAGCAGCAACCACCTCCTCAGCAACCCCCTCAACCAGCTTTTGCACAGGCCCAATCCCGTCCACAATCCCGCGCAGCCGCATCTTCCAGAGCAGCAAGCCCCAACCCTCAATTCCGTCAATCCTTTGATCGGCCTGGTAGCTCTCTAGGTAGCGAAATGGCTCTGGCCCTTTCCACCGCGGGTAGCGAGCGCGGCGACGGCAGCGTCTACGGCGGAAGCCAGTACGGAGGAAGTGTGCGCGGCAGAGCCAATACCGCCCGCCCGCAGAGTTCGTACATGGGCAGCGAATTTGGGTTCAATGGTGGATCCGGAAGCTCTGTGAGAGCGGAGTCGAGAGTGCGCAGTAAGAGTCTTGCTGAGCCTAAGAACTATAACAGTCAGGGACGATTGATTTTGAATTATTGTAAGTTTTTCTTTTCTTTTCTTTTGGAGGAGGGGCAAGTTGTAGAATGCGGCATTAGGGATTTTTTGACTAACGATAACACAGCTCGTGCCATGTACTCGTACGCAGCCCAGATCCCAGAGGAACTCGGATTCCAAAAGGGAGATATCCTTGCCGTGCTCCGTCTGCAGGATGATGGATGGTGGGAGGCTGAAGCAGTGGGCAAGCAGGGTCGACCAGGTCTTGTGCCGTCCAACTACCTCCAGCCCTGCTAGATGAATGGGATTTGAAATGTTTTTGGAAGAAGAGGAATAAGGTGAGATTTAATGATTGTGTTGGTTCTTGCTTGATCTTGCTTTCTTGTATTCAGCGGGCTTTTGATTTACAACATACCCACTCTCGTTCTTGCAAGCACATGTTTGGCGTTTTAAGGGGCATTATTTAATTTGACGAAGCGATGGGCATACGGGCACATATGTAGCGAACGAAATTGTACGTGATTTAAACGCTCAAACACATTGAAGTTTTGTTCTGATTCGGGTATCTAAATCTGATTGAAGTAACGCCTAAATTGATGCTTGATGTAATGGCAAAAATGACTCTCCATACGCGCCATTGCCCATGCTTTTTCTCCATGGAGTCCCCGTTATCTTAAAGCGGTTACTCATACGTATTCTCATACGGATCAGCATCATCGATATCGTCATCCTCGCCGTTATCAAAGTACTGTTCAGCATTGTAATCGTCGTCCGACTCCTCCGAGTCGGTAGAAGCAGCAGACCAGTTATCTTCTTCGTCCACGGCATCCGGCTTATCCTCGTCTGCATCCTCTTCGTCCTCATCGGCGTCTTCGTCGCCTTCTTCTTCGGCGCGGGCTTCGGCTTCGTTGGTGCGCAGCTGCTCGGATCGGATGAGGCGCTCGATTTGGGATTCGGCGTTTACTTTGGTGACGCCGAGGGTGCGGCGCTTTTTGGTGGCGGTGCCGTCGGTGCGGGTGCCGTCTACGTCGAGGGTTGGGCGGAGCTCGGCGGGGAAGAGGTCGACGACTGTGGTTTTTGTCAGGTTCTGTGGGTACAGGTATGGTGGTCTACGCGATCTACTCACCGTATGGGCGGGCGTCCAGCTTGGGTAGTCTTCTCCGCACTTTTAGGTACTTGGCAGAGTACGTCTGATTGCCGGTGAAAGGGTCGAAAAGCGAAGCCTCGGTGGGCGCGGGCTCGTTGGCTTTCCTCTTGAGGCCGTTCTTCATGCCGTCGTTAAGGATGGTATAGAAGGGGCCCTCGTGGATACGGTCGCGCACCGCGAGGTGGTGTCGGACCATATCGAGCTCATCGTTTGTCGGTGGAGGCGCCTGGGGAGGAGGTGCTTCCTGTTTATGTCTCAGTGAGTGGTCCAAAGGCGTGCTACGGGCGCATGATGTGAAGATAGGCAACGCGATGCGCCAAGCCCATCGTGCTCACTTGAATTGCGCAGAGTCAAGTAGATACATCAGAATAGGGTGAGCTCACGGGAAAACGCTCAGCAGGGCCTTTTTGGATGTCGAGGCCAGTCAGATCCCAGTTGAGCTCTGTGCCTGCGATGGTAACTGTTCCTCGTGCGGGATTGAAGGCTCCGCGCGCACCACCACGCCCTCCGCCTCTTCCTCCTCTTGCTGCTGGCGGCATGTTGTCTCTAAGCCTGCGCGACCCGTGTGCTGGTTCCGCCGCGATCAAGGCCAAGGGCGATGTCGTCAAGTTAAGAGTTGGGCAAAGTTGCCGAGTCAGAAATTATTTGGGTGCAGCTCGAGCCGCGGTCTGCTAGGGCTGAGAGTGGGGTCCCATCTGCATCCACCCACCTATCACCCCGCCACACGCCGCCCCTCACCCATCCAAGGCTACAGGGAACGCGTGCATTCGACCTAAGACGCGAAATCACATGAGCTGGAGCTAGAACATTCCTTTACAGCTTATTCTATCAGCCGTACTCCAGACTAGTAGCAAGACCGAGGTCATTACCATTCCAACTTGAGCCCTTGTCCTCTCTACTGTACCGTCTATCCCACTGGAGCTCAACCATGGCCACACCAACAGCAGTCCTCAGTGAGCTCTCGGACCATCTGCAAAAGGTCGATCAAGATCCTACCTGTCCGTTGGATACAGACCTGCTCGAACGATGCGAGCTCTCCACAAACACTCCGGAATATAGGAGCCATGGCTGGAAGGACACTAGATCGCTTTTCCTGCAAATAGCCGCCTTGTTACCCAAACTTCAGCAAGATCCGTCGCCACTCGTACATTTCATCGTCAAGTTAGCTGGGCCATACCGTTTTGAGGACATCAAAGATATCGACTTTGAGATTGGCCTCGATCTTCAGGCTACTCCATTCCACAGCCTTCTGCTCACACTGCTCGAGAAGGCCACCGCAAGTAGCACAGATGCCCAGACCCTGGCCAACCGTCCATCAGTCATATTAGCCACAGTCCGTCTGTGGCTGTGTACGCAAGATGAGGGAGTTGCGACGCAAGCCGAAGACCTTCTCACTTCATTACTCGAAGTATCAAAGAACGAGCCTGTAGCCATTGATGGCAAGTCTTCACTACATACATATGGCACTGGCCCTATGTGGCGACGGCTTTTCAGCGACCGCGACATCAGTTCGCTATACTATCACTATACATCCCTGAAACAGCTCACTTCACCTCCACCTCCGCTTCTGAGCAAGCGGGACAAGACCATCTCCCAAGCTAGGCTTCTATCATGGCTGCCTCGCGTTGCTGCTATGGACTGGAATGCTGTAGTCTCTTCATATGGTCTCCCTGTCGAGCAAGAAGTCGGTTTAAAAGAAAACCAAGGCTTACTCCACTACGCCGCATTGAAAATGGTCAATACGGAAGACGACATACTCATGCACATGTCAATAATCCAGTTCTATAGCGTACTTATCACAAAGGTTCAGACAAGACCTCATCTCTCCCACTATGACTCAAGCCTCTCCTTGGACTTCCTAAAACAGGAAGGCATTCACAAGCACCTGGTCGACTTCCATACTTCAGAAAATCCCGGTGTGGACCATTCCTTCCTGAGCAATCGGACAGCACAGTACATCAGCGACTACGCTTCATGTTACCCTGAGAACTTTGAGAGTAGCAGCGAGATGCCAATTATTCGCGACTACGTCCATCGAAATATCCGCAAGTGCGAGGCAAGCAATCTGAACATCATCGCTGCAATGCCGAGATCAACACTGATTCCACGGGGAGCCTCTGGGCCAGCTTGGGACGACTGTATCATTTTAGACATGCCAATTACCAGGACAAACCAAGATGCTTTGAAAACATTAGCAGCCGTCTTCCATGGTCCACCGAAAGAAGAAGTCACATTCCCACAGACCGAAGCCCTAGGTTCCGATAGCAAGCGTACACAGACCGAAGCCATATATGCGCGTCTCCTGACTGCCCTTTTCTGGAGCAAGAAACCGACCATGTTCGCTGACTTGACAACTCACATGGAAACTATTGCTATGAAGGAAAATGCCCTGGCTGCTCTGACGCTCGTGGGTGCCCTCATCACGGCTTCATGGTCTACCGAACCCCTCCCAGACGTTCCCGTAAACGATCCAACATATGCCCGTCTTAACTCCTTCCCAAAGTCCGGCATCGATCTAATCCTCGATCCCAGCATCAGCGGCGGAGTATTCCCTTCTCTGTTGAAACCAGCTACGACCTTTTCCAACCTCGTCGGCGGTCGTGGTGATGCTGAGAATGCGGCCTACATCGTTGCAACTGCAAAGTTTGAGGTCTTGAAGACGCTAGGAAGGAAGCTCGAACAAAATGGTGATAGACAGGACGTGCTTACCATGGTTAGGAGGAGGGTAGGCGAGGGTGTTTGGGGTAACAACTCCAATGCAGGAAGCAGAATTGGGACACTGGAGTTGTAATGGGTCACTTTTGCACAGGAAATTTCTCATTATCACGTCTCCAAGTCGAGTACGGCTTACAAGGACTGACACCAAGGAACACTGAGTACATTCCGCTGTGAACGATATGATTGTAAAGATATTGAAGAGAAGAAAAAAAGATGATTACCCCAACTGGTGAGCCCCTCTACATCTACGACTTTTCTTGTTATGAATATCTTTCACAGTCAATTCAAGTCAAAGGCCCAACAAAAAACAAGAGAAGGAAAAAAGAAACTGGGGTATCTAGACGGATCTAGACGAATGCTGATGAGAGTGGGACTTGAACCCACGCCACTTTCGTGACCAGGAATATAATGTTAAGATAACCTTAACCTGGCGCCATAACCAACTCGGCCATCTCACCATTTGATTGGTTGTTCGATGAGTATTTATGAATTTTCATAATCTATCACCGTGAAAAACAGAGCAAAACGAAAGGAATCAACAGATTCGTCTGAGAATATCATATGGACACAAGGATTGTATGTTGGCGAAGTGCGGGAAGCTAGAGAATTTTTTGGCGAGTGGGGCCTGGGACTAGTAATGAAAAAATGGTAACGTGAACAACGGCTCAACTGCATCGTGGTGGAGGGAATACGAAATAAATTCTTGTGATGAACCGCTTGGTTTAAAATCATTATGATTGTTTATTTTTAAACATTAAATTATCGATTATGTAGTAAATGCCATTATAGATGCAAGGTGTATGGCACCGAAGTCAAGAGGGCGTGAATCTATGACTTAGGGAACAGACAAACAGACGTGACCTATTACATTAGAAATACGTTCTCGAGTGACAAAATAATGGCCCGAGATTCGTCGCAGGGCACTAGAGTACGCTGCGCATATTAAAAAGCAACCGACGAACCAATACCGTTGTGCTTGGTTAAGTTCAATAAAACGTCGGTATTCACCACGCACAGCGTTGATTGGCATAGTTCCACTCTAACGCGCTCATAATACCGTAATAATGCGCTACAGCGCCCAGAACGACAGCGATGTGGAAAATTTGGTGCGACGCGCCGCAAACGTCGTATCGCTTTGGTTTCCAGGATTCTGGGAAATGAGCCTACAGATGCAAGTTAGTATAAAAAAGCAATCAAGTCAATACCAACGTCAGTCGAAGACTTACTGCATAAAACCCAACTCCGACGAGGATCAAAACGCCCTCGAGGAAGTAGTAGCGTAAGCCAGATTGCTGGTCGAGCTGGGAGTAAGGGAAAAGACTAGCAGCATGGATAATCGGCGCAAAGGCAGATAACCCCATAGCAACAAACGTCGACAGGCGTAAATACTTCCACTTTGGGTCCTGCAAACCCGGACTAAGAACAATGGTCGCAGTCAGAATTCCCAGCGTAATAATCTATTACCCCAAAAAAAGTCAACATCAACTCCTTACGTAGCAAATTCCAATCTCATCAACAAAGCGGGCTAGGAAGAACTCACCATACTCCAATAAATCTTCTGCAGCCGGGGCTCACAATAAAACGCAAAATAAATCCCGGGGATAAACGACCCTATAATCTGCACGACAATACCCACAAAATCGAGTCGTACCCAGAGCTGCGCAAACGCACGTGAGTGGCATATCAGCGTATGATACGCCGCCGACGTGCCAAAGCAAATGACACACGTGCTGAGAAACACGCGGAACATGACTTCATCCTTCCACGTCGCGTGCGGAAACTGTTCCGCAAAAGAGGTGCTGAAGGAGTGGCTGAAGAGGAGACTGAGGGCCGCGGGGAGCAGGTGCGAGTAGATGTTGATTGTTTCGTTGTGGAGATAAGTAAGACTTTGGAGGCAGAGGCGCGTGGATTTTGTGATGGGGCGGTATGCGGTTTGGATGTAAGAGTTGTGAGCGTACCAAGTGGGGAGATCGGTACTTTGATGCAGTTTCGGGATGGTAAAAGGGAAGAATGGTTTCGAGGGTTTTGCGTCCTGGTGGGATGTCATGATTAATAAAAAGTGTCGTTTATTGTTGTCGCGGTTCTGCGGGTATAAGAGAGACTGTTGTTGTTGTTGTTGTCTACAAAAGGGGTAAATTATTAAAGATTATTGTAAAAGTTTGACTGGAGGTTCCGATCAAAGGCACTGTAAAAATGTCGTGCGAATTAGTAAAATGCGCAGGACATTAATCTCGTTATGCCTGGTGTGGAGGCGGGAAAGGAATGAGGTGAGAACTCAAAAGCGTGGGATTCAAGCTTTCCTTGCGGATGACCCCGGCTATATGCGATCGAGTCGAAGCGGGTCAATTTCGGAACTAGGATCGAGAGGCGATCCCCGGGGCAGGGTCAATATAGTTATGAGCAATAGCGCAAGGGCCTCGGAATCTCAAATGTCTATCACTCGATTGCACGTGGAGAGCGACTGCAACAATGTGCATGTAGTATATGGCTTACGCTTGGATTTCGCGGTTTTTGTTTTGAGTCCGCTGCATACCTACTACCACTAGTACTACGCACGTTGCAGTGGTGTGTTCTACTAAGTTTCATCAGAACTACAATTAATCTCGTCTCGATTTTGTAGATAGTGAAAGCCTGCAAACCTTAAATTTGTCTAGTCGTAGATGTGCATCTCAAAGTGTAAGGAAAGTTGCATGATAGCAAGACACCTAGTCAGGGCGGTTTGCAACGCAGCAACATCTGCAGATTCCCGCCTTCCGTTTTCCATCTTCCAATTCACAATAATAACTCTTCCCACACTCAAATAGTCGCATGCCTAAAGAAACGTGCTCGTATCATTGGCGGCTAACTCTTAGTAAGTACCACTTTACTAAGAATTGACATAAAACAAGATGGCCCATAGGCCATGATGTTGCAAGGCATTCGCGTTCGCTTCGCAAGCTTGTGGTAGCATCTGTTTAGGAGCGGCGGTTCTAGCCTAGTCGCAGAGCGCAGCCGGCTAACCCGATGTTGCAAGGCATTCGCGTTCGCTTCGCAAGCTTGTGGTAGTATCTGTTTAGGAGCGGCGGTTCTAGCCTAGTCGCAGAGCGCAGCCGGCTAACCCGATTCTCCCCACCATGGTAGGTTGTGTGTGGTGCGCTAGACGGCTAGGTCGAGCTGCATCGGCAGGCTGTTGTCTAGGTGGGCGCCTTTGAAACTTCGTTCCAGCTCTGCGTGCTTGTCTGTCAGCAGTTCCCCATAGGAGGTTGCCGGCCACTAATGAACCTCTCAGGCCCAGTGCCCCAGCGCAAGATATACAGAGTTAATGCCCAAAGTGCATGACCCGTCTTTCTCTGCACTGCACATGAAGTCCCTACTGGCAAATCCTTCTTGTCCACCAACCAGCCAGCCAACCACCACCCCAACTCCGACATAGCTCCTTCTGTTCAAGCTGCAGCACCGAGACATGCTCGCATTCATGCCTGCACAACCCTCGACATCTTCTTCGGGTACGTCGGCTCTCAGCCAGCCTGCCTGCCTATCTGCAGCCCGCCAACAGGCCACTGAAGCTCCATCGCTGACATGCTGCACAGGAATAAATTACTGGTATGGCAGCGGAAGTCTGCCAGACACCCTCCAAGGTCTTCCCCAAACAGCATCCAACCCACGCTTGATGCGCCGTGCCTCGGACGCTGTTGCACAAGCAGCGGGAATCCAAATGTGAGTGCACATTTCACCAGTCTTTTTTTGTCCAACACAGTCCCGGAGGACCCCTCTCCCTCAGCCGGTGTGTGTGTGCGTGTGTATATGGATATGTGTATGTTGGTACACATCCATCGGTGCGAGTGTGCATATGTGTGTATGGATATACATACGTACGTACGCGGTAGGCACGGTGCAGCTCATCGGTCTCTGCTCCGGTCTGGTCTGGCAACCAAAACCCTCTGTCTCGTCGACTGCCCGTACTCTCCGCCTCGTGGGTCGCCATTGTCGCCGACACATTCGCCTTCAGACCCGACCCAGGATCCAAACCGCCATTGTCTACCAGTACGGAGCAGACAGCTCCGAAGTCCCGTCACGATCCGGAGATGCCAAGGGCGACATGAAAATCGCGAAGCTCTGTTCCAACGATCATCCTCTTTTGTTTCGGCAAGGATCGGCGGCACCATCTTACATCCTCGTGTCGTCTGCTTGTCCTCGGCAACTGGACTGCTCACTGAGACGGAGAGAAAAAATCACACCATTCAAAGGCTTACAATTACCGCAAAGGTAATTTGATAGACCTGTCTGCTGGCTGCGCCGTGACCATGACACGTCCATGCCCACTTGTCTCGGGATTTTCATCGGCATTCGTTTCGGAAGACGAGACCTGGGCACCGTGTGCGCGGGGTCCAACGCACCATCGATAGTGCGCATATCAGCGCAAACCTAGCCGACAACAGGCGCAGGCACAGGCGGGATGCGCTCGCCTACCAAAGGAGCACAGAGGCATCTCATGTCACCACTTTTTGTTCGAGGACCGTGAATTTACTAACAGCTCATTAGCCAGGACTCGTCTGAATGGGACGAAGGCCAAGTTCCACTCCATCTCGACAACAGCCAACAGACCAATCTTGTGATTCGACCCCCGGCAGCGTCCGCCGCTGCGAACCACAAAGCCCCGCTGGCACCCAAGCAAGGCCTTGGGGGCGCCCTGGCAAACGCTCGAGGCCAGCAGCATTCGCCCATTGCCGGCACCTATGCACTGCGGACTCCCCGTGGTAAAATCACGTCCATAGCGTGCGAGAGCTGCAGGAAGCGAAAGTCAAAGGTTCGTCCCAGATTGTACCCCCAATTGACCTGCTAGCGGGCCAGCTAACACGTCTTTTTTTGTTAAAAAAAAGTGTGATGGTGTCCGACCAAAATGCAACACCTGTCAGTCAAAGAACCTCACGTGCGTGTACGATGTCGCAGAAGACGGTAAGACAACGACGCAGCTGCGCGCCCACGTACGGCGACTGGCCAAGGAGCTAGAGGACATGAAGTCAATTATTTCCCTGCTTGCTATGACACCAGATCGTGCGTTGGCAGCAAGCTGGGCAGCAGAGATTGAGAAGAATGGATTCGCCCATCATTCCGCCGACGATGTCAGAAAGGCACTTTCAGGACCCATGGCGGGGGATCCACATGAGCCGCTTCTGGGATCAAACCACGAGTCCTTGGCAGGTCCGACACCAGCTCTTCCAGAAGGCGACTCGTTCGGAACGCCTGGTAGCGAGGCCTTTGCTACCGCTCCCCACCACATGGGTGCCTCGCCGTATGGCGAGTCCTCTCGGGAAGACAGGTAATTGCTTACCCGCGCTACAAGTGAACCAAACGCTGACCCAAACCCCCAAGCCGAGCACAAAGTCATTCGTCATTGGTCTTTTCGCATGACGCAACCCCGGTTGATGGCACGGTAGCGATGAACCCACCGCCGATGACGCTCGAAGACTCAACAAACGCACTGAGCAAGTTCAGTTTCGACTGCGCATTTTACCGGAGGACGAAGCGGGATCTCCTTGCCAACGGGTGGAGTGAGGTGCAAATATTTGGCCGATGTGAAATTGACGTGGATACTCTGTTGCTTGGCTTCATGGACCTGCAAGATACACAGCCAGTTTCGACATGGTGTGCAAGGGCTTGCAACAGAATACTGCCAACAGCGTCTCTTCCAGTCCGGCTTGCGGCCACTTGGCTCCTTACAAAGTTGATGCGGGTAAGTGCTGAAATGGCCTTTTTCGCAAGGGACCGTGTCTGATCCAATCTCCAGTATCTCATCTGGCCGAGTGCCGAGAATATGAACGGGAACCCGGACTGGATGATGCCGACAATGGGAAAGCAGGAAAATTCGCCGTACGACATGCTGATCGACCTTGTTCCATGGTATGTTGTACCCCAGCTCTTTCTCCCATCCACGATATTTGGCCTGCTCTTTCTCCCACCATAAAATCGACTTTGCTTTTTTCCATCCTTGGTATCTGTCCATGCTAACGTTTTCGTCCAGGCCTCAGGTACGACAGTTGCTATACCAACACCCCCAGGAATTCTCAGTTAGCCACTTCATTAGCCAAATTGGCATCAAATGGCCACATGCCGACGACGCATGCCACTACTGGGACATTGAGGCTGGATACTCACGAATGACTCCCCTTTTCGAAAGCACCATTACCGAGTTGGCCAACTGGACCATTGACCCCAAGATTCTCAAAATCATGCCGCAGCTCGAAGGCAACATTCCCACTCGGCCGTACTCATAAAGCTGCGTAGCGTTTTCCCAAGACTCGGTCGTAGTGGCGTGTTTTATTTTAGCGGAACGTTTTTTTGCTCAAACGAGTGCATCATTTGCATAACTGGATTTCGCATGTCTGGAGGAATTTCTGGTTTGTCTTTTCCCATGCTCCTCCTCCTCCCACTTTGCCCTGGTTCCGGAGGGTGGGTGCGTGTATAATATCTGAGTAGTAGTAGTAGTGAAAGCGGTTAGAAAGCTTTCAGGTGAACTCGGGCTGGTGTTTGTTTCCCGCCAACAGCAAAGTCGCATTGGGTTGTTTTGAGGAACCATTATGTCGCATAGTAACCAAGGTGTTAGGGAGAAAGCCGGATGCTTTTCTTGTTGTTGTAACCCTTCTTTTAACTTGCTTGTGCCATTGTCTTATGGAGTTTTTTGGGGGGGGAGGGCGGTTAGACGGAGAGAGTGTGAGAAAGGTTTTTGGTGGGAGTGGAGGACCAAAAAAAATCCCTTTTGAAACCTAAAAAATGAAAAAATCTCGCAAATTAAAGGGATCCCCCCCCTTCTCTTGGATGCTTTGTAGTAATGAGAGCAAAACCGTTGGCGTTGCTTGGTTTTGTAATGCCGAATGGGTTTGCTGTGATCGGTGAGCGCGCGCGCATTTTTCGGATCGGGAATACCATTTAAAAAACGCCATGGTCATGCACCCATCGTGCAATCCCCCCTGTTTAGTACGACCATTTTCGATGGCCCCCCATTTGCAAACACAAAAAATCCATGTAGAAAATGGACCTTTGCTAGACAAAGAGGGAAACAAAATGGTT